TCACAAAAACAAGGCGGAGGTTAAAACCCCTCCAACAAAAAAAAAAAAAAAAAAAAAAAAAAAAGTCATGTAGAGTCTAGATTCCAGATTCTAGAGCATCTGGAAATCATGAGTCATGTAGACTTTATTTGAACCATTCCAAAGACAGGGAATTTAGTCTGTTTAGAAAGACTCTTTTCAATATTCCTAAAGCCCTAAAACTTAGAATGTTTTTCTTAGTCTTTGTCTCAGTAGAGGAAAGAACTTTCTAACATTCAGTGTGCTGCAACAATGATGTGGACTGCCTTTTGAAGTAGAAAGTTCCCCGTCAGTTGAAATATTGCAAGCAAAATATTTGAACAGCTGCTTGTCAGAATGTTGCATAGAACAGTTAATTTTTCAGGTGGACAAGCTAGATGAAATCACAAGCTTTTCAAGTTGAAAGAAATTATGGAATTAAAGATTTCATTAAACAGATGAGAAAATTGAGCTACAGAGAGGTTCAGTTGCCTTGCTTGAAATCACAGTTGAGTCTATGATTTGAGGAATTGAGATCTTAGCCCTTCCACCTCTTAATATACTCTTGGAAAGTTATCATCAGTTCTACCTGATTAATTAATTCTTTTCTTTCGCTCCTGCAATCCCTGCCCTTTGCAGTTATTTGGTAAGAATTTTAAAGTAGACAAATGAAATACATAGATTGACTATTACATTCAGAATGCCTAAATGATTCTGTAGCTCATATATAGTGTCTCCATGTCTAGTGGTTTTCCCAGAGTGGATCCAACTTACACTAGTCCCAGCGTAATTATTAATAATTCTTCCTTTCACTGCTGAAATTTTCCTAATTTAAACAATATGGTCACCCTACTAATGGCCAACCTGGCAGGCCCTAGCAGTCCTCTGTGGTTATGAAAGCCTTGATAAAATCAAGCAATTGAGTTCACATTACAGCACAAATGACTGATTTGGTTTCATCTAAACTAACAATCCATTCCAAACAAAATTCTTTCAAGGAATTATATTTTTAGAAAATTTTGTGCTTTTGTCTTAGTCAATTTCCTATCTCTGAGACAAAGTATCCCACCCTCACAATGTAGAGGAGGAAATGTTTGTTTTGGCGCATGGTGAGAGCTCATGGTTGGCAGGCTCAAGGGCAGAATGACATGGCAGAGGGGCAGAGTGGAGGGAAAGCTCCTCAGTTCATGGTGGCTAGGAAGCAGAGAAACAAGGGAGGGGTTGGGGAAGGAGATATACCCTACCGGGTCACACTCCCCCAGTGGCTTGTCTGTTTCACCCAGATCCTCCTCCTAACACCAAGTCAGCTATACTGCCCCATAATTTAATCACTTTCCAAAAGCCCCACCTATGAGAGCATGAGACTTTGGGGGTAATATCTAGATATAAACTACAACAGGCATATTTCATTTGAGATTTTTAGGTACTTGGCAGACACTTAATCTTATTAAAGTTTATTAAATGCTTATATTTGGATAATGCTTTAGAGTGTACAAAACGCCTGGACTAATAGAGTCTCATTTCATTAATTCACAAATAATTAACATACAGTTATCTTAGATCTGGATTATGCTGAGAGGGATTCAAGAGATGGGGGAAATAGTTGCCTTACAATAGTGATTTCTTACCTCCAGGTGCTATAACAAAACAACATAAACAGGACT